GAATGCCATGCCTCTGGCCTTTGCCAATATGTATTTGCCACATGTAGAACATTTGTGTGCAGGATTTGGCATGCAACATGTTGCAATTCTGGCAAAAAAAATCCTGAACTTATGGGAAATGCCCTACAGTTCTGGCAAAGAATACCATATTATTTATTAACCTAAAGTACCCTTTGAAAGCTTCAAAGTGCCTTACAAGAAAGAAAATTGCACACAGTACATTATTTAATACAAAAACTTACATTAGCTTACAAATGTAAATTACTCAAGCAAGGGAAAAATATTTCTCACAGCAATATTCGTTCAGTCATGTTGCACAGCATGTTTTATAGTTGAGATTTAACAGATTATTAACAAAAATGCAGATTAAGAAGTAGTATCTAGCCCAGTATCTTTTTGAGGGAGATGCCTAAAAAATTTCTCTTGCAATACACTTAACTTTAATTTCCTGATTTCTGAAGCTGGCTTTTTCAGACTGAATATATCTGGATCCCCAGCTGTGTGTAGCTCAGTGTGCATTTCCAGATTTCTGTATATGGAGCTAGGAGTGTATATTTGTACTGTTGTTTATAGAATTGGGCATCTGTGTGATTTGGCTGAATTTTTGCAAAGATGAGGAGTGTCCCTACCTCTAAGGGCTGCCACTACCACAGCTTTTGGGAGGAGGGTGAGAAAAATTAGTTCCCACTGGCACAGCCTCCCACAGCACAGGGCTTGGGTTGCTCCTGACCAGAGCCTGCAGTGAGACCAGGGTTTGATGGCTGTGGATCAGACCTGTGCTCCAGTCATTCAGCCAATCCATACTTAACTTACCCTCTTGGGTTCCACTGTGTCTTTGCACAGTGAGTTCAGTTTGGTTATTCTTTCTGGAAAGGAAATGCTTCCTCTTTTCCCCCCTCTCATTTTAAACCTGCCATCTGATCACTGATCACACTGTCAGTTCTGTTCTTGTGAGTCATGACCAAACTTTGCCTTTCCAATATCTCTGCAAAGGTGTTGCTTCTATAGACTGTCCTTTCATTTGTGCTTTCTCTTCCTTCAACACCAGCATTTATTTTGTTTCAGAACTTGCCTAAGTACCCAAATACATGAAAAACATACAGCATTCAGCCTAGACTGGACCCAGGTTAGATGGTTTATCATGAGTAGACACTTCCACTGGCAATTATGGTGGATATACATGCTTTTTATTTTATTTTGTAAAAAACTGGGAAGATTCAAGCAGAACTAAAGAAAACATAAATGTGAAAATTATAGGACTACATAATTTCTAGTGCTAAAAAAAATGAAAACAGTCCTCTTTTCTATGAGAGAATACAGCTCCACTGAAGATTAACTGCTTCAGAAAAATCATACTTGCTAGAAAATATGTTTGAGAAAAACAATGGAAATGTTCTGGCATTCCCATCTGGAAAAAAAAGCTTTTATATTGTTCACAATGAAGTCTATATTTTGCATTGTACTATAAAGTAAATGCCTAAACTGAAAGGAAGCCAGGGTTCTAATTGATCAAAAAGAGCACCTCAGGAAATTTTGAAATTTCTCTGTTATTTTTACTTTGAATACATACAGATTTATTTAAAAAAAAAACAAAACAAAACCCTGTGGTAATATTCATGCTCTTCAGATTTCTTTTGGATATATAGGGAGCCTGGCTCTCAGGGATGCTGGGCGTCTGCAAATCCCTGTGAGCTTGCAGGAGGGATAGACAGTGTGCAATCTGGGAGTGCACTGACCTTCTTCTCTGCAAGAATTATGCCATTTGGAAAAATTAACCTTGAGGATACAAGCCTTAAGATGAAAATCTGGGAAGCAGCACTTTAGTTTGTACCATAATTAACTGTGGATATTAAAAATGGTTTTTACAATTATTTTTTTTAATGGAGAACTTTCTCTAATAAGACTAAGTAGAAATCGTAGGTAGTGAAGAACGCAGTTACTCCTTGTGAGCCAGGAACAGTCTATTAAACGTGGCATTGCACTTAGTGTATAATACTAAATCCAGATTCTCCTCTTTTCTGAGCCCCAAGTTACCACCCAGTCTCCAGCCCACTCTCTAACCTGGAGTGACCTGTGCTGCTGCTGCTGCTGCTAGGTCTCTGCCACTGGAAATCAGCCCTGCAAAAGATAAGGGCCACTGCTTATCATCAAGCAGTGAGAGAATGCAAATATTCCTAAACTCTTAAATTATCCAGCTTTTTTTAGAGATGAAAATCCTTTAATGTCCATGTCCTTACTTCTCAGCCCAATGTTGTATTACTAAGGCTTTTGTAGGCACAGGAACTTTTCCTATGAGTTTTTGTTTGTTGCTTCATAATGCAACATTGAATTAAAGCAGCAAGATTGAAATAAAGAGGAACTGGTTCACCCTTTTCCCCCCATCCTTTCTGTAATGAGAGCTTTTTAGCAAAACCAAATTAAGGCATTCTTCAGGTTTTGTATTCTTAAATAAACCAGTATTTCTATGAACACCTGGAAAGAAAATTTCATTTTTATATTCAGCAAAAAAGTTCTTTGTATTCCTAGACTATTTTTGTCAAGCAAATAAAATACAAATAACAATTTGTTTGGTTCTAGTTTGTACTTGCTCACAAAGTTTCCTTTTCCCT